GATATTTGGAGTTATCCCAGCGGGAATGTGAGAAGTTGGTTTTAGTGTTCTTGAAATCCTGTTCCTTTTTGCAGGCGGCGGTGTAGGGATAGATAATTTCTGAGTGCTAAATGAGGGTGGGTTTCTGAGTAGCATCAATATCAGGCCATTTATGCGCTGTGTGATTTCTGTGGCACTATGATTATAATATTTTTTAACAAAAAAATCACCAACTTATAATATTCAAAAATCCTATGATTTACACCAAAACCAAAAGACTTTTTCTCACATTTAGTTTTAATTTTTAGTAATTTTAAAAGTCGTAGAAAAAATATTAATAATTGTTAATCAAAAAAATTAAACTATATAACATTATTATCATAATGTCTATAATGATAATATTAATTTATTTTACTCAACATTTTTCAAATAATAATAAGGATGAATGTGGAATTCAACCAAATTATAGAGAAAAGCCACGGTAAGACGATTAAAATATTTGATCACATTTATCAAGGAATTACATTAAATTACAAAGAAAACTATTGTTGTTTTTTACATTTTTAAACATTTTCTGTGAAATAAAATAATTTGATCGTCAGATCGTGGCCTAAGCCATTTTTAAGTGTTGTTAAAATATAAAAATTCGTGTTGGTGGTATTGATAACACGAAAAATGCCTAATATACCTATAATATACGTAACCTTTAATGATTACGGTCCCTGAAAAGTATTGTTTAAATATTTATTCGGCGCCAAAGTGTGACCCAACTTTACAACGAAATTTACATCACATTTATCTGCATTTTGTATGGTATTATCAAGAATATAATGCAGGGTCACATCATTTTTAAATTTGTTGGAAAAAGTGAAAAAAAAGTGAAAATAGTTAATTTTAATCTAAAAAACAATAAAAAGGTGAGTGATAAAATGAATTTTGTCTTTTTATAACCCTTTTATCAGCGTTACAAAGGTTAGTATCACAGATATTTTCGCCATGAATAAATATACGCCTCCGGATGCTATCTTCAACACAAATTCTGCATTTCAGTGACACTTGAAATGTTTTTAATCTTTACCAGTGGTAAATGGTGTGAGGTGTTCATTAAATGGTTGTATAAATAGTACTTCAGTACTAACTTAGTTGTTTAACTTAATCAAAATATTACATTTATTTCAGCCAGGCCGACTGAGACTTCTTGGGACCAGAAGTGTTGCGCCTGCGTTTGTCATATTTTATTTGTTCTTCTCATAGTTTTTGATATAGATACCCGACATATAACAACTGAACAGAGGGTAAATGATCGGCCATGGCAAACCAGGCATAATTTCTGGAGAGATCCTTTAATTTTGTGCGGAGACCTAATAATGGTAATTACTCTTATTATTATTCCTGGTCTTACATTCATATCTAAATTATGTTTGATATTTTCAGAAGACAGACAAGAAATGGATATCTAAGTACTGCATTCGGCCAAGCAAAACCCGGGAATGCTTCAGGCATTAAAAATTTGTAGTTCCAATGCTTCGATTGTAAATATTATTAATAAATACACAAACAAATATTACAAAAAACATGAATTTTATTGTGGAAAATCAGATACTGCAAAGCAGTGCAAAACCAAAACTGCGAGGGTCTGGAAAAACCAAAACTGGGAGGGTGTAGAAAAGCAGATATTGCAAGTGGAGGAAAACCATAACTGGGTACGTGTGGAAAATCTATAATGCGGGAAGTCGAAAAACCAGTGGATTTTGTCCTGCATTCTTCTGCCAGAGATCCAGATAGAAACCTCATTTCCCCCTTACTTTTTGTGTCACCCCCGTGTATTTTGAAACCAGAGATGGAAGAAATGTAAGGGGTGAATGAGGTTTAGTCCCTTCCGCTTCTATGGAGAAACCTCTTGAAAATATGTTATTTTCCAGAGGAATTTTCCCGGTGGGTAACCCAGTGGAAACACTATTTTGGAGTAATCGGGTTATTGGCTCACCCGATTGGTTACCCCTCTTAGTGTGACTAGACTATAAGTTAAAAATTGTTTTTCGGGGGTGTCACAGAAATTCCCACCGGGAAAATTCCTATGGAAAATAACATATTTTCAAGAGGTTTCTCCATAGAAGCGGAAGGGACTAAACCTCATTCACCCCTTACATTTCTTCCATCTCTGGTTTCAAAATACACGGGGGTGACACAAAAAGTAAGGGGGAAATGAGGTTTCTATCTGGATCTCTGGCAGAAGAATGCAGGACAAAATCCACTGGTTTTTCGACTTCCCGCATTATAGATTTTCCACACGTACCCAGTTATGGTTTTCCTCCACTTGCAATATCTGTTTTTCTACACCCTCCCAGTTTTGGTTTTTCCAGACCCTCGCAGTTTTGGTTTTGCACTGCTTTGCAGTATCTGATTTTCCACAATAAAAATCATGTTTTTTGTAATATTTGTTTGTGTATTTATTAATAATATTTACAATCGAAGCATTGGAACTACAAATTTTTAATGCCTGAAGCATTCCCGGGTTTTGCTTGGCCGAATGCAGTACTTAGATATCCATTTCTTGTCTGTCTTCTGAAAATATCAAACATAATTTAGATATGAATGTAAGACCAGGAATAATAATAAGAGTAATTACCATTATTAGGTCTCCGCACAAAATTAAAGGATCTCTCCAGAAATTATGCCTGGTTTGCCATGGCCGATCATTTACCCTCTGTTCAGTTGTTATATGTCGGGTATCTATATCAAAAACTATGAGAAGAAAAAATAAAATATGACAAACGCAGGCGCAACACTTCTGGTCCCAAGAAGTCTCAGTCGGCCTGGCTGAAATAAATGTAATATTTTGATTAAGTTAAACAACTAAGTTAGTACTGAAGTACTATTTACACAACCATTTAATGAACACCTCACACCATTTACCACTGGTAAAGATTAAAAACATTTCAAGTGTCACTGAACTGCAGAATTTGTGTTGAAGATAGCATCCGGAGGCGTATATTTATTAATGGCGAAAATATCTGTGATACTAACCTTTGTAACGCTGAAATAAAGGTTATAAAAAAACAAAATTCATTTTATCACTCACCTTTTTATTGTTTTTTAGATTAAAATTAACTATTTTCACTTTTTTTTCACTTTTTCCAACAAATTTAAAAATGATGTGACCCTGCATCATATACTTGATAATACTAAAATGCAGATTTGATATAAATTTCGTTGTAAAGTCCGGTCACACTTTGGCGCCGAATAAGTATTTCGTTTAAAAAATACTTTTCAGGGACCGTAATCATTTAAGGTTACGTATATTATAGGTGTATTAGGCATTTTTCGTGTTATCAATACCACCAACACGAATTTTTATATTTTAACAACACTTAAAAATGGCTTAGGCCACGATCTGACGATCAAATTATTTTATTTCACAGAAAATGTTTAAAAATGTAAAAAACAACAATAGTTTTCTTTGTAATTTAATGTAATTCCTTGATAAATGTGATCAAATATTTTAATCGTCTTACCGTGGCTTTTCTCTATAATTTGGTTGAATCCCACATTCATCCTTATTATTATTTGAAAAATGTTGAGTAAAATAAATTAATATTATCATTATAGACATTATGATAATAATGTTATATAGTTTAATTTTTTTGATTAACAATTATTAATATTTTTTCTACGACTTTTAAAATTACTAAAAATTAAAACTAAATGTGAGAACAAGTCTTTTGGTTTTGGTGTAAATCATAGGATTTTTGAATATTATAAGTTGGTCTTTTTTTTGTTAAAAAATATTATAATCGTGGTGCCACAGAAATCACACAGCGCATAAGTGGCCTGATATTGATGCTTCTCAGAAACCCACCCTCATTTAGCGCTCAGAAATTATCTATCCCTACACCGCCGCCTGCAAAAAGGAACAGGATTTCAAGAACACAAAAACCAACTTCTCACATTCCCGCTGGGTTATTTCCAACCGAAATCCGTTAAAGTTCTTACGTGCATCAATGCAAAATCCAACCGTCTTCGGTTGGAAGAGATTTCTGTGACACCCCTGTTTGATTTTGAAAACATAAGCTGCTGCTCCGATCAAGATGATTTTTTAGTTAACGATTCATTCTATGGCTCAAATGATTAATTTTTTTTTTAATTCTAGCATTGTTAAAAGTATTTTCAAGAATGTTTTTTATATTGAGCACGGGAGGGTTAGTTTAAGATGCAAATTAGTTTAGCAAAAGGACAAATCATAAACTATCATAAACATCTACCGTTGTTCAAAGGAGTTTTTAAGACTTTTATTAGATTTTGTGAGTTATTGCGGTGGATTTCGATGCCAGACAGCGAAAATCAAGAGAGCGAGAGCCAAGAAAGCGAAAGCCAAGATAATTTTGGGAAGGGCCATTTGAGTTTTTATAATTTGTAATTTTATTGTTTTTGTTTTGCTTTTTGAAAACGAAGAAAAAAAAGCCGCATTACTAAACAACTTCGTAAGCAAAGGCAAAACGTTGTAAAGTTATTTTTAAAACCTATGAGCATTTTTAACTCAAATCTAAAATGCAATGGGGTAACTGGCGAGGGGACAACGGGGCAAAACAGTTATAGTCAAGTGGGCTTCATCAATATAAATTTTACTTCATTTCGGCGCTGAGCGATTTCTGAACTTTGGTTCCGGTACTAAACAAATTGTTTCGATTGTCTAAATACATTTTATAGGGGAAATATAAAGTCTTTCCGACATTTGTTAAACAATTTCTTAAAGGTGCACAAAATCGCTTCGGGAAAGCTAATATCTTATATAGGCAATAGCACAAAAACTAAAGTCTCTGGGTACAACATTGAAGAGTACAATTTTTAAGCCCAGCAGCTCTTAAATTGTATCTTAAAGCCTTCCGAAGCTTCCTGAATATATTTATAAGGTGAAGTATAAGTTTTATTAATTGTTAAATGGGAACTATTGAAGTTGGTCAAACCAGCCAAACCACCTTCATAAAGCTTGCAGAGCAACAACCGGATGAGTCCGTTATTGTGCCAGGGAAATCAGTTCTCTGACTTTCGCTTTAACGGACAGACGTGCGTGTTCCTCATAATTTTAATCCATTTCAAAACCCGCCTCTGTGTTTTACCCATTTATGAGAATGTGGAACCTAGTTTTCATATTTGTTTAATATCGCCATATATTTTAAATAAATTTAAATTTAAACTCAAAATCATCATAATTAAGCAAACCAAATATACTAAAAACTATTAAAATTGATTTTGAAAATCCATCGAATATAAGAAAGCTTAATTTCTACAAGTGAACTAATTTTTAACATGTTTTAAAGGAACCAAAATGCTACAACCACGCGAAACCAAAAGGATACCGGATTGTCGCTTTAAAAAAAGCTGGTCGCTAGACTATAGAATCAAAATTATGTATTATAGTTATCACAAGCAAAACTGTAGCTTAGCTCTGTTAGCCACACTGATTTTAACTATGGTTCACATTGAAGCTTCCCAAGCAACAAGTGAGTATGGCGAAAATGACATTAACTTAAGCAATGTTTTCGGTGCTAGTTACATCCATTAACATTTATCTGACACAAATTAAAAAATTCAATAAGCCTTGGATTCAAGACAAAATATAAATTAAAATGAACTGTGAAGACTTAGGGTCCCCAAGCTCGTCACTATTGCGAAATTCCAATATCGCGTGTATGTGTAAGAGTGTATCTGTATTATTAGCGTTAAACGGGCTAACTGAGGTATTCACAAGCCAAACCAGTTTTAAACTGGTGTTGTGGCTAAATTTGGTGTTTGTGGGAATCTCTAATAAGAAAAAAGAAAGGAAGTCAGCGACAAAATACAGTATACAGCTGAGGTCAAAATAATAGTAGTGTCACCGCCCTTCATCTTTAAAGGCTGGACGTTGAATATATCACGTCCATTTCGTCCACTAGTCTATTATATTTAGAGATTAGATTATTTCGAGTAAAAAATAAAAGAATCCCCAACAGTGTTGCGATTCATTTTAAAGCAGCTGTTGGCAGCTTCCCATTGAGCGGGCAAGAATGATTAGAACAGCAGTCTGCACACACAAAGCTATCCATTGGAAATACGAAAATACGAAAATAAAAAACAAAATGTCATTGTATATTATGCCGACCGGCTTTTTTCAATATATTTAAATCTTTTTGAAAGTAATTACACTGTGCAACAAAAAGGGAATGCTTTTTAAATTTACCTCGATGGATGCTATATTTTTGAGTTCCTTACGAATTCCCAAGTTAAACTGCGTTTTCCAAAACGTTCCCCGACGCAAGGGTTCTTAGCACAAGGACCTCAAAGTTCAAAAAATGCTGAAATTGGCCAATTTCCGGTCTAAGAGGCAAACGGATTCATGCTTTGTTTTGATGCTAAAGTTTCTTAAAATATACACTCTTTATCTTTCAAACCCCATACTTAGAAAAATTGTAGGATTTTTTAAAGGGAGAAATAAATTATAGAAAACATAGTCAAAAAACTAAAAAACATACAGCTGCGTTCAAAATAGTGGTAGTGTTGCCGCCCAATTAGTCTAATACTACAATTATAATCAATACAATATTACCAGGAAAAGATAAATTAAAACAACAAAAATAGCTCCCTTGTTTTCCTCACAACTCAGTTACTCACTGATATTATGCACATATATTAATTTCATAATTTTCGATGGACTTTCTTTTTGTTGGGAAGGTAGGCTTTGAAAAAATTGTTTGTTTCAGATTGTAATTTTAATTTTCCAAAGCCTACCTTCTTAACAATAAAAAAATATATCGATTTGTATGGCAGCTGTATAAAGGGACGGTGATAAAATTATGATATTAATATAAGTGCATAATATCAGTGAGTAATTGAGTTGTGCAAACTTTCAGCTAAAACATGCAAGAATTGTACTCATTGGAAATATAAATAGGGTATTTCTAAATTCGCAAAAAAAAAAGATATATCTTGGAAATGATTAAAAAGAACAAAAATGATTCCTCAGGTAAATTAAATTGGTTATGAGATGGACAATCTTGGATAGTTGAGTTTAATTTACAGGATGAAGAAGACTTTCAAACCCGCCATAAAAATTTCAAATAATAAAAATTCATACTTTTTGGACAACAAAAAATTTAAGAAAATCAATTTCTAACTCCTCAGTACACATTTAAAAACGTGTAAAGTTGCACATTGTTCTTCTTAGCCGTTCTCGAGATATACTAATTTGAAGTTTGAGAAAATTTTTTAAGTTCTTTACTTCAAAATTTCATAGCGCCCCTAAATGGACACCAAAAAATTAAAAAAAATCACAGATGATAACCAAGGCAAACTCTTCGAGGTACCCGAGTTTGAAGAAAATCTAATATTTCATATGCGCAGTTGAGAAATTCTTACCCTTTACTCAATCAAAAACAACACAAGAGCAATTGTCGGTTTCATACATTTGTACATTTGTTTCGTCCTACATTTGGTTCAGCTTGTGAGTTTGAAAATAGCTCCATAGTTTTTAACCTTGTTAACCTTTTTATACCCTTGCAGAGGGTATTATGATTTCAGTCAGAAGTTTGCAACGCAGTGAAGGAGACGTCTCCGACCCCATAAAGTATATATATTCTTGATCAGCATCACAAGACGAGTCGATCTAGCCATGTCCGTCTGTCCGTCTGTCCGTCCGTCTGTCCGTCTGTCTGTCTGTCCGTCTGTCCGTCTGTCCGTCTGTCCGTCTGTCTGTTTCTACGCAAACTAGTCTCTCAGTTTTTGAGCTATCGGGACGAAACTTTCGCAAAAGTCTTCTTTCTATTGCAGGTAGTATATATGTCGGAGCCGACCGGATCGGACAACTATATCTTATAGCTCCCATAGGAAGGATCGGAAGAAAAAAGCTTTAAAAAATTCTAGCTTCGGTGTTTTTTGAAATATTACCTTCTACTTTTGGGGATGTTATTTTTTAAATATTTCTGAATTTCGAATTAATTATTTAAAAAATCGGACTACTATATCATATAGCTGCCATAGGAACGATCGGAAAATTAATGGAAAAGTAATAGGAAACAAATTCTAGCTTCTTTGGTTTTTATTGTATTATCTTCTACTCTAGGATATAACTCTTTTTAAATATTTCCGAATTTCAATTTTAATTTGATCAAAATCGGACGACTATATCATATAGCTGCCATAGGAACGATCGGAAAATTAATGAGAAATATTAGAAAATTGAACATTTTTGCGATTTGTTAATTAATAGGAATGATCTGCAAGGGTATATAAGCTTCGGCTGGCCGAAGCTAGCTTCCTTTCTTGTTTCGAATTAATTTTAAAAAAAGATTTAACAAATTCATTGGGTAATGTTTTCAGCGGCTTTATTTTAATATGCCGATCAAAAGAAATTCAAATGTATCGGATAAAACTGAGTAACCATCAGGTTGCTTTTTATACACATGCGTGTCAAAAAGCAAACTCAAAACTCTATATTTTTCGGGGACACCGACGATTTAAAAGTTTGTTTATTTTATTTTAATATGCCGATCAAAAGAAATTCAAATGTATCGGATAAAACTGAGTAACCATCAGGTTGCTATTTATACACATGCGTGTCAAAAAGCAAACTCAAAACTCTATATTTTTCGGGGACACCGACGTTTTAAAAGTTTGTTTTAAGCAACACAAATAACGTTTTTTTTATGTCAAAAATATTATGAATATTGGAAAATAACACACAAAGTACTATACAAATGTATAATACTGAAAATGATTGATACGCACAGTATACTATTCCTTGTGTATTATACATGTATGAAATAAAATGTGAAGTATTCTATTTAAATAAAATACACGAGAAAAATACATGTATTTTATTTTGACATGTACATTAAGTCGTGTACTTTATTTCTGACGCGTACGAAATAATTTCGATTTCGTACATCACTGTTTTGTTAATACTTAACAGAGAATATGTCATTAACTATTTCCCGTGATTCTGTTATATAAATGACCATATCTCAACAATTGCTTTGTTGTTTTCTGATTGTTAGAGTTTTTTGGAATACATTTGAAAATAAAAATTTGAGAATATGACTTATTTTCCTTTTTTATACCCTTGCAGAGGGTATAACGATTTCAGTAAGAAGTTTTTAACGCAGTGAAGGAGACGTTTCCGACCCCATAAAGTACATATACTATTGATCAGCATCACTAGATGAGTCGATCTAGCCATGTCCGTCTGTCCATCCGTCTGTCTATTTCTACGCAAACTAGTCTCTCAGTTTTGAAGCTGTCGGCTTGAAACTTTCCCAAAAGCCCTTTTTCTATCGCAGGTAGTATATAAGTTAGTATAATCGACCGGATCAGACAACTTTATAGGAAAGATCGAAAAAAAAACGTTCAAAAATGCAAGCTTCGGTGTTTTTTGAAATATTACCTTCTACTCTTGGGAATATTATTTTTTAAATATATCTGAATTTCGAATTAAATATTTACAAAATCGGACGACTATAAATTATATAGCTATAGCTATATAGCTGCCATAGAAAAGATCGAAAAATGAATTGTAAATAAGTTTAAAACAAATTATAGCTCCGTTGGTTTTTATTGTATTCTCTTCTACTCTGGCATATGATATTTTTAAATATTCTTTTAATATTTAATAATGTCAACATAATGCGAAATTAATAATTTTTGCGATTTGTAAGTTAATATAAATTATCTGCAATGTCTTGTTTAAAATCATAATAATTACGACCCCTGTCTAAAGCCCCAAGGCTCTAGCTCTTGTAAATAAGTTTAAAACATATTATAGCTCCGTTGGTTTTTATTGTATTCTCTTCTACTCTGGTATATGATATTTTTAAATATATAAATTATTTGCAATGTCTTGTTTAAAATCATAATAATCACGACCCCTGTCTAAAGCCCCAAGGCTCTAGCTCTTATAGTTTGCGAGATCACAGCATTCACACGAACAGACGGTGATGTTGAGATCGACTCGGCTAGTGATCAAGATATAGAATATGAGGTCGAAAACGCTTCCTTCAACCTGTTACACAATTTTTCTCAATCTTTTAGTTTATAATTAAATTTCAAATTAAACTGTCGTAAACTGTAAACATACAGTAAACTGTATGATAGACGAAATTTCTTATTAGGAGGAAGTTTATTTACTTTTAATAATATATTATTCTGTTAATTAAGTTATTTATCCTATATTTACAGATCAGCCTCTTTTCGTTAGTCCGACCCCAACGTTGCCAGCAATACATGGGGATGGTAAGAATTTTTGAACAATACGCACTGCACTGTCCCCGAACAATAATCCTAAATTAGATCATATCATTTAGCAACTCAATTTTTTTGTGATTTAATTTAAGCGCTATAAAGTGTAAATTGTACTGAAATAAAAACCTGCTCCTAATTTATATTTTATAACTATATTATATTTAATTTACAATATTTACATTATTTCTTATTCATTTTCTTTATTTCTTTCTATGATATCACCATCTTTTGGAATGTACATTCTGGAAATATTAACTAACTTTATCTTTCTAATTTATACCTGCACAAAATGATAATGCCCTACTTCTTATAATGTATATATCTGATTTTTCACGCTTTCTCTGTATTTACTGTAATTACTATTTTACATTATCACAAAAACTTTATATGTATAACCAGATATAACCACTGTACTTTTGGTAAATAACGAATCAGGACATGTGGGCGATGTTCATGGGCGGTTCTTAACAGTACGCCCAGAAATAGGTGTTTTGACATCAACAGCCAGGACATTTATTCAGGATGGAATAACAACAGAATTTGCCACCAAAATTGTAGGGACAACATTAAATAATGGTCGCCTTTACGCCCAATACCTTAAAAAGAGTTCTAGAGTCCTTTATGAAAACGAAAACCTAGCACCGTCTGTAGTTACTAGTTGGGTAGGTGAAGAAGATTCTAAACAAACACCACTATTTTTACAAAGTCACAATGACCTATATAATTCTGATGACGCCGATTGGCAGGATATCGATGATAGCATAGGCGTTCAACGGGGAGAATTCGTGGGTAACACGGATTTTGTAATCCAACAAAGAACAAAAGTTAAAGACCTAAAAAATCCAGATTATCAAGATGAAAAACCGTTAGCATCTCTGGATCCTGTAGCCAACAGCAATGTCACGTTAAAGTTTGACCCAAAACAAAAGGTAGAAATGAATGAGTTTGCTAATGCCAAGGTGTCATCAATTGAGTATTTGGAAACATACACAGTTCAAAGTCTTTTTGGTCATATTACAAGTTCTGTAATTAATCAAACAACGAACGGCTTATATGCTCCAAGAGAAGAACGAAAATATGGACGAGAAAATATCGACACCCAAGATCATCCAAATCGATCTTCCCAAAAGCAAGTCTTAGCTACTGTAACATATTATGGATTTGCAGAGTTTACAACTATTGTTGGTGATAGTGTCATAGTTTTTTCTCCAAGTACTATACAGAGCAGTCTGAATTTTGGACACGTTACATCGATCAAAGGCAAGCCTACTTTACAACCTGAGTCAATTCACAACTACAACAAAGAGATAGAAACAGTTACTACTTCCGGAAAAATCGAAATCTTGACCGCTATATCAAGTTTTGGGCTAGATGTTTTAGACAGTCCAAATCATAGGAAGAGTCACTCAAATAACTTATTAACTCCGGAGCCAAGTATTCCTTCGACAACCGATTTCAACAATATATTTTCAGAAAAGGTGGAAGCAAGTGTTGTTTCATCTGTTCCATTGGTTTCAAAAACATTTAAGGATCTTCAATCATCCTTTAAAGATGATATTGATAGTCCGGAAAATGCAACAAGTCACATTGAACCAAACATTCAAAAAGAGGAAGGCGCTACCACTGTTTTTATTGATGATGATCCTTTCACTAATTTCGTTGAGCTTGTCAATTCCTCGAGTGCAATATTTAATTTTGCAGACCAAGAAAAAATATTTCAAAATACTGAAATATCTCAAAGTGATAAAACGGAAGAAAATATAACTTATCAAACTATTATTAACATCACTAGCGACCAATTTGAAAGTAAACCGACTGTTGGGGGGAGTAATGAAAGTGAGACTATTTTGAAGGAATTATGCAACCATACCACTTCACAAGTGTTTCTTACTCAAATGCCTAAGGCATTCAAAACAAACAAAGAAAATGTTGGTAATGACGCAAATCCTCTTTTCGCTTATGACATCGTAGAAACTACTAAATACTATTGCATACAAGCTACTCAATCGGAACAAATGCCAGAATTAAATTACGGTAATACGTTCCAAGAGTCTACTACAGAGTCACATGAAGAATTAATGTCTACTGAGTTAATAGACGGCGTAGATGAAACCACAGTTCGAGATTCAGAGGACTATGATGTTACGACAGAAAACGAATATGAAAGCGAAGATGACGACTATGATAGTGTTACTGATGATGTTGACTTAATATATAAAACTCTGTATACAACTTATACATATTTGACAACTTTCTTCGAAGGTTCTCGCTCTACCGTATCTAGCCACACTGAAATTTTAACAAATATCGTTTCCTCAACACTTTCGACTAAGGATGAACTAAAACAAAACACATTAAATAACATCGAAGAAAAGCAAATTTCTGAAAATACAATTCAACAGGCTGATCAAAGAACATCATCTTTGTTCCCAAAGTACACTATCCCTGTTGAAATTGCTAGTCTCTTAATCCAGGAAAGTAAAGTAATTACCGCTGCAAACGAAAGTACTGACCAGATAATTACTACTTATCTCAACGATCTAAAATATAGTAAAACTTTATTCACAACGTATACATATTATACATCTATATTTACAGATAATGATACTGAAATTCAATCACGAACTGAGGTAGTCACAAATTATATTACTGACAAGGTTCCGAACTACCAAACAAATAATATAAATGGCAACAATAACACAACAATTAAGCAACATTTTTCGGCATCCGAGTTTCACTCAGTAGAACCCGAAATAGAAAAGGATCAGGATATGAAATTTGAAATCAGATTAAATTCGAGCAGCATAAATGATGCCAATACAGAAACTTTTATTAAAAGAAGTCCCCTGGACGACCAAGTTAGCTCTGAAAGTAATACAGAGGAGATTATACCATCAGCAACTTTTCTTCTGCAAACAAGTTTTACAACCTTTACCTTTTATACAACAATGTATCTAGGTGATGAGACAAATATTATAAGTCGCCTTGAAACTGTAACCAACGTAGCTACTGAAACTTTACAACCTACAAAAGTCGTAAATTTACAGGATTCCTCATTCCCCATTACTTACTTTACAACATTTACATATTGGACTAAGTTAGCTAAGGATGGTGAAATTACAACTCTAAGCAGAGAGGAAACATTATCCAATGTGATACAACCCACTAACGTTACACTAATAGATGTTGATGATTCACGAACAGCTGATGAAAAATCTAGTCTGTCAACTCTGACGGATGACAAGCAGATTCATCAGAATTCCGATTATGAAAACACCATAATTTCTACATCAACCAATCAAAGCCTTCATTCTGATATTACCACATACTATACTACTTATACCTATTATACTACATCATATGATGTCAATATGACAATTATCGATTCACGTTTTGAAACAGTTACTAATGTAGTGACATCTAGGGAGAACTCTATTTCAATGTCAGGCACTCCGGCCATAGACTTGATGATTAAACCTAGTCAGCCTGTTTCTGGAACAGATCTTCAGATTGGAACTGGTGAACCGGATATTGTTTTGTACGATTATAAACAAATAATTGATGCAGATGAAGTAAGCACTTTGTACTTTACAACAGAAATTGTATCATCAATTAATAATGAGGGACATGATATAAAAGTAACTAGTAGCACATCGAGGTTACACGTTAACGAATCCAAAAAGTCCGTTTTAGCCACGATCTTAGGTAATATACCTGATGATAGCTTATCTAGCTTAAAATTGTATAAGACGGGATTAGTAAGGCTCATTGAAGGAAAGCGCATTCAAAACAGTACAACTACCTTATACCAATCAAAAGTTATCGGAACTGTTATAGATAATAGATATGCACAGATAATAGAAAGTACATCAAGTTTTTTCTTTGAAAATACTCAGTCTGATCTTCTTTTGCTTCCAACAACGGTTAAAAGCTCTCCTGTGGCAAATGTCAATTCAATTGAATTGACAAAATCTACCTATACTGAAAGTGAAGAAACTATCGGTTCTTCCACATACATCGAAAGCACAAAAGCAGAATCAGATCCTAGCAATGAGGGATTGGTAAATTCTTCACCACAAAGTACGAAACGACCATTCGCACCTGTAATACGCCCTTTTGCCTCACGGAACAGGCCTACATTCGCACCAAAACAGAAAACTTTAGTTCCAAGTAGTGCGACAATAATCACAAGATCGGACATTACACCCACTATTACGGCGACACCTGCTCTAAAATCAGCCGGGAGATATAGCTCGTCGCGAAGGGGTATAATTTCCAATGTGCCAATTAATCCCAACGAGTCAAGTTTGTCCCAAGGGCAGTCGTCGAGGCGCTTGTTTGGGCGACCTTCTAAGTCATTGAGTAGTTCCATCGACGTCGATAGTACTCTACAGTCTAATCTTGCCTTTTTACCTTCAAAAAATCGGTTTGCTTCATCTTCACGCCCAAATGTTAGTTCCAGGAGACAAAATATAAATGTTTCTTATCGATCATCAAATATTCCAGGTTTTCGTGGATCTGGAATTTTAACCAACTCTAGATTACGAATAAAGCCAACTAACTCAGGGTTGATACCAAGCGATAGGTCGACGCAGTCGATAACATTTGCAAAGGAGCTCAACTCGGAAAGTAGTGCCGAGGAAGAGAACTCAACAGATGAAGTTCCTGATGAGGAAGACAACCCAAAACGCAATAGCAACCCACTATTGCGTTTTCGGCGCCCTATAAATGGGCCCATTGGATTTACGCCTGTAACACGACAGACTGGCAGTTCCCCAGCAGTTTCGCTTAGACGAAACCCATTGTCGCGATCAAAAATTTCAACGACAACCAGCAGTACAACAACTACGACGGCCAAGCCCCGACCTCGAAGCTTTCAGAGACCTATTGGCCTTCAGCCAAGGTCAAGACCACAAAATAATCTTTTTCCACCTAGAGGGCTTTTCCAAGCTCAGCAAAAGGATGAAGGTGTTAAGGACGTAAAATCAAATGATAACGTATTCACAAATGATTCCGAAGATGATGCAAGCAACGCCGAAGAAGATGAACAGGAGGATAGTGTTCACCGTAGTAAGAGGTCTTTACTCATTTTAGCTAACTCTAATTCTGAAAAGAGAGTACGTCGGCAAACAGATACAGTAAAAAGAAACAGATTTCGATTTCGTCGACAAAACCAAACATCGACATTTATCAATGAAGAATCAAAGCTAATTAGCTCCGACGATCGTGCTGAAACCACATCATCTTCCCCACGGGATAAATCGAATTCTAGATTCGGATCAAGATTTCATTCCCCACAGGGGCATTTTATGCAAACTCCGGCCACACTGGTTGACTCAACAACGACGAACAATCTTAGATCTATTCGCCCGACAAGGCCGACAACAAAACGCCCTCAATTTACTTTAAGAGAGAAAGATGCTTCTTTAAAAGGCATTACACGTTCAAGTTCATCTAATAACTTTCGACGTCAACCGACCACTGGGAGTTCTTCAGTAAGGCGTCCTGTTACAGGAAATACAGGAAATTCAAACAATCGCAGGCTAAAAGGCTATGTCAGCTATAATAATAAAAATAATGTAGACCATGGACGACTATCAAGTACGACCCGATCTCGAAGTTCAAACTCTAATACATTGAATAGAGGAAGAAGTCGGGGACGAAATCGAATTGATTACCCCTCTGATTTACAATCTACAGAACATGAAGTACAAGCAATAACAGTTACTCATTTTATACCATCTGAAGTTACAATTCCAGTAGTTAGCGGTCATGTTACTGAGTACAAAAACATTGTCACTGCTAAAACAAGCACCGAGCTCGTCGGTCCCAATGATTATATGCAAATTTTAGGTACCAATGGATTGAGTTCCATATATCTGAATCGGGAAGTCTCTAGTATAAACATTGCTGGTGCCACAGAACATACAAAATATTTGTTACATGAATCTATCACAAGTTCTGTAATTTTTACACCGACTACAATCCGCGGTAGGAAGACGTCCTTTTCACATATTATTCCATCCACAGCTTATTCTGTAGAGTATATAGTAACTACAATACAGCCTCAAATTTCGGATAATGCACCGCTTGCCAACATATTGCTTTCCCAGTTACTTTTGGGAAATTTGAACTTGCCCGCTCATCAAATAATAGGTGCTGTCGGACAGCAAAATTCCGCGACGGCTTTATTACCCACATCTGTTGAGCCTATCACTGAATATCGCACACACACTTCTACTTATGTAACTACAATATTCGATGGAAAATCCACCATTCTTCCAGTGACATTTCAAGGGAAAAAAATTCTAACTACTGTCTATGACACAACTGCACAAACAATAACAGCTACAGAATATAGTGTAGACACAATAGTCAACACAATACCATCCGTTCAGAATATGTTGTCAGTTGGACCAGCTGCAAATGTAAACAATTTATTGTTGCAGCAGTTACTTATTCAGCAACAGCAAGAGTCTTTGTCACTGGCTATATCAAACACTTTAGCCCCACAAATATTATTAAGTGAAAACCTGCAGGATCTGGACGAAATGTCACGGCTATCATTAAAATCGGATGCCATCGATAATGTTGGATATGAGTCGGACATTGTCTCAGTCAGCAAAGAGTCACAACTCACAAAAAGCCATCGAAAGAAATCGCGAAAATCAAACAATGGACACAAGCGCAGTAAACAAAGTCATATAGCTGTCGAGCACCCAAACCCAAGTGTTGTAACACTTTATGTATCCGGCCGCAGGCCCGGTGAATTTAGTACTGTATTGTCAACCGTAGGAAGCGAGTATGATCACTCTGTTTCCTTACAGAAGAGGCACGCATTTATCGAAATTCAGCCAACCGATTCCATGAATTATTTTTCCCAAACCGCTGAGATCGAAAATGAAACAGCAATTTTAAAAGGTCAAAACGGGTTTTTGACAGTTGACGTCGGGCTTAATGAACTGAGCGATCGAACTGCATCATTAGAAAGCATTGTTGGTGATGTCGATCTTTGGTATGCTAAATCAAGTAAACAATCCATACCATTGTCGACAACAATGAATTCAGTGGTAATCTAACATAACTAAAGTTAAAGGATTGTTATCGCTTATAAACAAAAATGATATAAAAGCGTTAATTATTCATTAAATCTGTATAAATATGTCGAGACCTTCTTTGGAAGATGTCCGATTACTAGTCAAAGATTAAACAAATATCAACAGGAGTCTTCTTCAATACCCAACGACTCACAAGCGAATAACCCGCATTTATGTTTATAAAATAAAAATAAAGCACTAACTTGGCCTATTTTGATCTACAATTTATACATGTATCTGAATTTTTAAATTAATTTTAAACAAAATGTTAAACCCAATCTGAACAAATAACGTTTAAAACTCAATAAATTGACGGAAAAATAAAATTTTTTTTAGTGTATAAGAAATTGCCTCAAAAGCCGATTCGAAACATACTGACCATTACATCGAAGTTAACATTAAAGTACACGGTTAGCACGAACATAGGGACTGGGGATGGCTGTTTTGGCAATTGTATGCAAAAAATTGTGCTAAAAGTATGATACCCAAAATATCTTCGGACAACATCCCCTCAAACAAACCCCGGCTACTCCATTGATACACAGCGTATACTTTTATCTTTCATTGAATTAAAAGTTAAGGTAAAAACAAACGTTTCATTTTTACATCTCCCATACATAATACAAACCTATTGCAAATTCGTGTAAATGGTTTATTTTTAAATAAATTGTTTAAGTAAACAAACAGTTTTTAGAACATTGAATTTAAAGCTGTATCTTGATGAATATTAAACAAGTTCAATCATAAGAAACACAAGTTTCAGAAATATCAACACATTTTTCTCAAAAATATATAAAAAGGGTAACTTTCTTTAAATAAAAAAGATCGGTTCTTAAAGAAGGTTTTGGGTGATTTAAATGTATCGCTGTTCAAAACAGTCCGAATTATAACCAACTGTTATTTAAATATCATTACTTCTGAAATATTCCTGGTTTTCTAGATTATATATGTATGTTACTGTTGTTACTTGTTGGTATACAATAAAAAGAATGGCATATACCCATACTTAAAGCTTAATTAAATGTAAATATGTATAAATATAATTTTATTTAATTAAGCTCTACTAATATCTTACAAAAATGTAAATAGATACGATCAATAAATCAATAAAAAGTATTTTACAAATTCGCTGTGCAAATTTAATTTCACTCTCCCTCTAAGGCGATGCGATCTACTAAACGCTAAAAAACTTTGAATTTAACATTTACTCCTTCTCTGAAGAAGTAAAATTACTGGATAAAAGCTAGTTTTTTCAGTTTCTGACACGCGAACCTTTTCGCACTAGCACCATGATCCCGTTATTCGACCAATAAATTTAACGTCATTGGTAAATCGATCCGACGATGGTGGATATAGTTTAACGGGTAAAAGGTTTTTGTGTTGAACGCATTCATTAAAAAAAGTGTTTAGAACGGTATAGAACAGTTCAGTGGCACTTTCGATGTCCATACAGTTATAAAATTCTGTCCAATTAAATTGAGAAATCATTAAGTTAAGTTTACTAAAGTCAGATTTACGAAAGCTTCTCATTTTAGTTGGAGAGACTAAAGGAGAGAGGGTATCAAGGTAGGGGAGGCAAATTGTCAATTCCATAGTTGGATGGTATCGGTCTTCTGGTACCACAAGAGCGTCAATTCTAGATACCGTGACTTCAGACGGCTCTGAAGAAAAAACAAGATCTAGTTGTCTATGTAATGAATTTCGTATAAAGCTAACTTGCTGTAACGATAATTCTAAAAGGCCATCCACAAAGTCATGGGCGGATAAAGGTAGAGCGACAAGTGAGTCAGTAGGAGGGGACCAAGAAATATCCGGGAGATTAAAATCACCCAAAACAATCAAAAGGTCTCTATTGGAAAGAAAGGATAGAATAGATTTAATAGCTGCTAGATGTTGCTCATAAATTATAAGGTCAGAGCCAGGTGGAATATAGGAACATGTAATAAAGATAGACAAGGATTGGAGGGTAACTTTCACACCAACAAATTCAATGTCACTAGGGACATGAGAGTGAATTCTCTCAGAATTTAGGGTAGAAGTAACAGCAATTAGAACGCCGCCCCCCTACGGGAAAGGCGATCAGTTCTGTAGGTATTAAAATTATTTGCAAGAACTTCAGAGTCTGTTATCTCTGGTTTCAGCCAAGTTTCAGTAAAAGCTAAGATATCGTCCGTAAATGCCGAGGAGTCAGCATAAAGCTTGGGTAGCTTCATGTTAAGTCCTCTAACATTTTGATAAGCCAATAATAAACTTCTCAGTTTTTTGACACCGTGGAAGGCCTATTATTTGTTCTCGGTTTATTAGGAACAAATTCTTTTATAACCAGATCATCATTAAGCCAGAAGCTTTCAGAAAGCAGTTCTTTAAACACATCAGGCGGAGCAAAAATTTTGAAAGACGATATCCTAAGGGCGTATGAAAATCGAAATTGTTCAACCGCAATATCCTCGGATGGGAATTTTTCACGAATGAATTCCAAAACATCCTCAGATGTGGTATCAGGCGTAAATCTTGAAACAAATAGTTGCTTCCTATGTGGAACAACTGAGAGTTTCTTACGCCCCCCAGCAGCAGTCTGAACCTCACTCAGCTGAGAGCCAGAAGCGGCACCTACTGTACGTCTGGGTACAACTATAGATCAGCACTCTTTAAAAATTGCGATTTTTTTTTCATTTTACGAATTAAACATACCATTATTGCGATTTTTCTTTTATTTTACGAATTTAACATACCATTACAGTAAAAATGGTTCAACAATTTCACATTTGCAAAGTTTGCTTGTAGCTTATCCTATCCATGTAGAGTATTCATTTAACCAGTTAACCGGTGATGATATGGTTGTAACTTAAAACATAAAACATAAAAACAGTTCTGATCAGAATCACTAGCCGAGCCGATCTGAGGTTTTGAGAACTAGAAAATCTAGAAGGTTGGCAGATTCTAGGGATTCCTGGGCAGCGTAAAATTAATTCATAAAGGTGCAACGACCCTTTCCATTGCGTAGCCCTTTCGCGGCCTTTTCTCACACCTATCTCGATCATCTATAAATAACCATAAATTATACGTTCAATAAAGCGGAAAGATCAACCAGCAGCCAAAACGAATTAACTTGACAAAAATAGACCTTCCTTATCAACCCGTCTACCAAACAAATTTTAAAGTGCACAGTATAATCTTGATTGAAAAAGCACTTGGCTTCCAATATGTATCCCCATACCGTTTATAGGCATTAGAAAAAAACTCTCAAACAATTTTATCTTGCGAACGGAAGATACAATTTGCATAATTCAAAAGCAGGTAAATATATATTTCTATTGTCGATTACGAGAAAATAAATTAATTAGACCAAAGATGATATGTTTGCCAAAATGCTCCCGACTCAACGTATTTGTTTCATATGAAGTTTTTGTTTTGGACGACCTTTTGTTGGGTTGAGTACTAGCCCTAAGGTAAAAGGTATTGGGCAAAAATAAATACCTAAGTAAGGTAAAGGTACTTCAATTTCCCAGTACCTAGGTAAAGGTAAAAGGTAAATATATTGTTTTTTTTTTATTTTTTATAATTTTTTTGTTTTATTCAATGTAATCATTTAAACTTAAAATAAGACTTGTTTTCAGTTTTTAGTCGTCTTAATCAAACAATATCTTTTCATTTCATTTAAATTTAAATGTTATAATTTTGTGTATATATTTTTAAAACACGCGGCATGAATAATTGTATGCACGTATCACTTCATTAATGAACTTATGAAACCCTCATGTACATATTTGGCGCGCAAAAATTCCGTATGTAGAAACATTGACTATATATTGTGCATATGTATATGCCGTTTGTTTACGTACATACGGCATTTTTGCGCGCCAAATACACTTTGGTTTCATAAATAAATTGATGTAGTGATGGGAACATACATACGTGCACAAAATTCTATAAAATAAAACTGCGATTAGTTTTCATTCTTAAATATGTACATATGTAAGTAATGTGTACATGTACATATCTCACATCTCACATCTTTGTGCAGATTTCCTGTCGATTTATTATCGAATTTTATTTTTTTATTAAAGCCTAGTACTCAGTACGACGAAAACTGCTAGCTAAGCATAGGAGTAAGCGAGAGGCAAATAGGTTGCTAAAGCCTTTAGCCGGGGACTTTTTCCCACCTCGGTACTCAGTTGAGCTAAGGAAATGGTAAGAAAATACCAAAAAAAAAACTACATTTAGCGGATGAATTCCGATGAACGCTTTTAGCCGCCGACCAAAGAATAAAAAATTTGATCTTTGGCTGTGTATGTGCAGAAGCGGTGTGCCAATATCAATTTATAAATGGAAGGAAAACCAGAAAAACCAATGGCCAATGCCTGTAGGAGCTGCTGCAATACATATCGCCATTCCAACAGCGAATTGAAAGCTTGCGACCCAGGTCGGCTCAACGTATTGTAATATTTTAAAATTGGCGCCAGTTGATTTGTTTGTTGAGAGTAAGACCATGCTACATGCATTGCGGATGAACTCCGAAAACTTCGGTCTCACTAAAAGATTAATATTTTTCGACTAGGAAAACTCTTAGCTGAACTGAGTACTAGGCTTAACACACAACACGCACTTGCCGTCCGGGTTAAAAAATATTCCATTTAAACATGTTGGCAACACTTTCTCGTTTAAATTTTCTTCTTCGGCCATGTCTGTCGCGCAAATTGGGATGTCAAAAATATATCAAAATATCAATATATCGATATTTTTTGCAAAAAAAAAATATATTTATATCGTGATATTTATTTAGCCAAATATCACAATATCGATATTTTATTTTTCGATATTATTTGATATTTGCATATGGGCACTTCTACCAAAAGGTCCACCAAGCCAAAAACTTGAAACTTGAAAAAAACATATTTCCACATGATTTTGCCCCGATATTAGTTTCTAAATAGTTTGATCCTGAGCTTATCTAAAAATTTTGAGTATAGTTTGATTATTTTTCTGACAAACCCCACCAATATACGCAAAAATTAGTTTTTAGCTATTTTTTTATTATTTTTTGGACCTGTCTTCAGTTGTTAATTTATCCTTTAGGAATGGTAATATGTGACATTATTCTGTACTGAATGCTTAATTTACATGTTAAACTATTAAGTTAAATGCAAAACAGCCAGTAATTAAGGGAAAGAGGTACAGAAAAAATGTCCCGAGCGACATGTCCCAAACGAATCTGGTTGAAACTGCATAAAAAAAAACGGCAACAATTTTTAAGTAAAACCAAAACCATTTCAAAGCGACATGTTTGGACAACATTCTAAAAAAATCGCATTAAAATATTTCATCAGAATTCACTAAATTCTGTTGTTGAATGAACTTCCCCGAAATCCACTTCTATTTTTGTCCCGAGCTAATACGGCAGTTTTTTAACGATACCTTAAAAACTAAAAATGGAACAAAATCAAGATTTTTACACAAAATAGAGCTTGGGAAGAGTTAATAGAAAAGCCCATTATAAAAATTAAAATCAATTTTTTTTCAACTTTAAAGATGTGCAAATGTCCCGAGCGACAATATGGAAGTGCCCATATCTTTCTCTCATCTGTGCACAAAAAAATGAAGCGTGTTAAAATTTATTTCGGTGAAATTAAGAAAAACAAACTAAGTGCAAACTTTGTTTGAAAACTATTAAAACAAGTGGGAAT